CCACCTTCTGGCCACGGGCCTCCTTGTCACCGTTTAGTCGGGCCTCAAGGATGGCCTCGACGAAGTGGTCGGCACGAAGAATCTCGCCGTTCTTGGGGTCCTTGCACATCCAGTCGGCGAACTTGTCGACATGGCCACTGGTCTTGAGAACCTCATGAGGGGTCAAAACAGTGCAGTCAACCTCGAGCATATCCTCCTCAAGGATGAAATGCTTGCGCCAGATATCAATGACACCGGCCTGTAGTGCGCAGCCAGGAGGGCCATAGTCGAACAGACCACCAACACCGCCGTAGATTTCGAAGGAGGGGGTATAAAACATGCGACGTCGGAGGATAGATTCGAGGACAGCCTTGTCGAGGGGCTGACCCTTAAGAGTCGTCGCGGCCGAAGTCATCTTGTCCTTTTTGCGCTTTTGCGACGTTTGCAGTTGAAAAGCGTTGAGGGGTCGCAAGGTCACAAAAGTGCGGGAGTCTACGACAGCGCGGGGTGGTTTTGCACAGGCCGCAAACCGGAACCTGGGACCAGAACGTAACAAACTAAGTTGCCTTGATAAGGGTGAAGCTGTTGAAAAGCTTTTTTTTACTGTTGTTGGCAGTGAGGCTGGAGATAGTGATGAGGGACGAATTGGCTTCATCCACCCTGATTGTAAAAGTGGTCAGGTAAAGAAACAGAGGAGGGCGTGAGTCACAAAAGTCAACTCCGTAGCGTAGGTGGCCTAAAATGGTTGCTATTAGGTCAGGTCAGAGACTCGAGACGTCTAACTGGGTCTCTCTGCTTGGTATGGACAGCTGTGGATGGTGGGGGAATTTTATGAGTTTCTCTGGCATCTGCTGGGCGCTGATTCGATAATTTGGTGGTTAGAGACCCTAAAGAGGGAGTTTTGCTATCGTGGGTATCTAACTTGAAGCGGTTCTGGGAAGATAAGTCTAACATTCTTTGTCCCCACCACGGTCACTTGCTGTGTACGGAGTAAATACCTTGCATATTGGCCCAATGGGTAGCACGTGCCGATATATGGCTTGATCATGATGATCATGACGTTGAATTTTGCATTAAGGCTAGGAAGTTTCTTATGAAATCAATTAAAATGATTACCTTGGCACTAGATGAAGTGAGTGGCTTTGAGATATCAATCATGCGAATAACAAGTTGCGTTGCTGATTGAATATCTTGTGATGTATAAGCCTCCTCAATCCTCCAAGATGAACTCGTAAACATATCCTCAGGTTGATTGTTGACGTTTATCACGTCTCAAACAGCGAGTGTTTGCCTAATTTTTCTTTCAATGTTGCATGAATGCAAGACGGCACTGACGCTATCCGTCGATAGATATATTGACAGACCCATGAGCTCAGTCGTTGCATTGATGACTGGCGAGACAATAACTGAAGAAAACTCTGACTACGCAGGATACTTCATACACGTACAAAACAACTAAATGATCGAAATGGCAAGAATCAGCCTGGAACTTTGAGGGTGCAAGAAAGATCTCACTGTCTGACAGTTGAAATCGGTCCTCACAACCAATGATCAGCAATCACCAGCCCAGCAAACGTGCTTCATTCCTTTACTGCACTTGTGTCGATATACCTCAGTAACTACCTGATTTAAATATTTCATAAATAAGGCAATTGTGCAATCATGAATAATCTTAAGCTTTTGTAGTGGTCCGATCTCAAGCTCGCCCCAGATTTCCAGCCGCTTCCGGCATCAGTTGCCCGGCAACCAGATGTTTATACTAGCTGGTTTCCAACCCCAGCCAACGACCTACCTTACCGCACCAGAACCGTTCAAAAAGGCAAACCTCCATCGTCTTTCTTCATCTCTTCGTTCGTCCTTCACTAACATCAACAGCCCATCCCGCCCTTGCCTGAATAATGGCTACCCGTACAATTGAGGCGCGCTTCGAGCGCATGTCCGTCAACGATGAGAACGATCCCCTCGGCGACGGCTCCAAGCTCTACAGCAAGACAAAGGTGTGCTCCCTTTGACCGCTTGACCATGGTTTGATCACTGACATAGAAAGACTATGGTCTCATCTACCACATCGCAGAGTATACATGGAGCCTCTCGACCCAACCTCTTCAAAGTCGCCCTCCAGTCGCAAAGCAGCAATACCAACGCCGCCGTAATGCTACCATCCCAGGCTGCTCAACGAAAAGTCAACAACGCTCCTCCATCTCCTACAAGAAAAGCCCTTCCCTCTTCCTCAAGGACGTCGGATGAAGCTTCAGATGAACGAAAATCAGTTACCCTGCCAGAGCAAATCAGTGTCCCTAAGCAGTTCCACCTCGGCATGTTCGAGATTGGTCGGCCTCTAGGTAAGGGCAAGTTTGGACGAGTGTACCTTGCTCGAGAGAGAACAACAGGCTTCATCTGCGCCCTCAAGGTCCTCCACAAGAATGAATTGCAAGCAGGCCGTGTGGAGAAGCAGGTCCGCCGAGAGATCGAGATTCAAAGCAACCTGAGACACCCCAACATTCTTCAACTATATGGCCACTTCCACGATAGCAAGCGAGTATTTTTGATTCTCGAATTCGCTGGTAAGGGCGAACTGTACAAGCACCTCCGAAAAGAGAGCCGGTTCCCTGAGTGGAAGGCAGCTCAGTACATCGCCCAGATGGCATCGGCATTGCGATACCTGCATCGAAAGCATGTCATCCACCGGGATATCAAGCCTGAGAACATCTTGGTTGGCATCCATGGTGAGATTAAAATCTCGGATTTCGGATGGAGTGTGCACGCTCCCAACAACCGAAGGAAGACCATGTGTGGTACTCTTGACTACCTCCCTCCTGAGATGATCAAGCCCGGTACCTCTGACAACTTTTACAACGAGAAGGTTGACCTGTGGAGTTTGGGCGTCCTGACGTATGAGTTCCTCGTTGGTGAAGCGCCTTTCGAGGATACGCCGGTGATGACTCAACGAAGGATTGCTCGTGCCGATATGTCGATTCCTTCATGGGTCAGTCCTGAGGCTACTGACCTCATCAAGAAGGTATGCAGCCCCAACAATATCTGGATCGTCGTACTGACATGAATGAAGCTCCTCGTGTTGGACCCTGAGAAGCGAATTCCTCTTGAGCAAATTCAGCAACATCCCTGGATCATCAAGCACTGCGTCAAGGGTGAGCGTGCTTCTAACCGCGAGAAGGGGCAATAATGATATAACGACAAATAATATGAATGGATAACGGTTGAAAGGCGTTTATCGGCGATTGATTGACTGATTTCTAATAACCAAGGACGGAACCTGGCCGTTCACATTAGTTGGAGTACGGGATTTTCTTCTGTGGCGTCATTCCAACAATTATTAAAATGAATACAAGAATTGGTTCAGCGTGTTGAAGGGGTATCATTGATAGTATTGAGGTATACGGCAGAAAGGCATCATACATGTTTCATTAAAGGCGCCTCTCGCCCGTCTTAGATATCGTGCACATTTTCATATGGGAGAGCAGACTGCTAGCAATCATCGATAAACCTCATCGAATGGCCGCGTGTCTGCGAAGCAAGAATCCCAAACCTGGTTGACGACTTTTGTTGCTTGTACGTCGTCCTTGCATGTGGACCTGGCCGTGACGGAGTCAATGGCTCGTCTGCGGACGCAATTTTGGAATTGCTGCGTCAATCTCCAGTTTCCTCGAACGAAAGCCTCTTTTGTCCATCTGCACTCGCCGCTGAGCATCGAAGCTCGGATCTTTGAGATGAATTAGCATCCTGGTCTGTAAAGAAATTGTTATTTTACCCACCTCTGTGCATGCGGCGTGCTTCAAGTCTTTTTGACCCATAAAGTCGACATTCTTCCATCGAATATAGTCCCAGGCATGCACCATCTCATGTGCAAGGGTATCCTCGAGATGCTTTCGGTTCTTGATGTGGTTGGCGCATATGAGGATGCCATGATTGGGGCTAAAGCCACCAGATTGCCAATTGACTGAGCCATCGGCCCTCAGAGAGGAGGGACAGCGACGGCAGTGAACATTGGAAGGGTCTATTCGTCCGTTGAGAGCCTGAATCTTCTCAGACATGAAGCGAACGACAGGTGAATAGGTAAAGAGCCAGTCGCGATCCCTCTCACAAGCTTTGCAGTCTTTCTCCTCCTCGATTTCTGTTGTATACTCTCGGAAGAAGAACTTACCCTCGGGTGTCATTTGGCCCGAGATCATCTTGAAGTAGTTCATCCACCATGAGATCTCTGGAGAAAACCCGGTTTTTGCAGGGTCGTTCTTGATTTCTGCATTTGAAGCACTTGGCGTTCCAGCGGGGGCGCCTGGGGGAGGTGTAGAGTCAGATGACATTCTGCAAAGGCGCGCGTATGTATGTCCAAGGTATGTTAATTGAGTCCAGTTTATTTGTGGCTTGGGCGAGTGAATTCGGTATTCGGCGTAAGACTCAGAATCTCAAGGTGATCTCTCTTGACCTTCGCACAAGGCTTGAATTTAGTTGGCCTTAGCTTGCCTTAGCCTCTTCAGAAGCCTGTACCGTAAGTGTAAATTCTGCCATGCAGCCGATAACCCGATTCGGCCAGGCGGTGAAGAGGCTGATTGGACCAGTTTTCCGAAGAAAGGACCCTATTCGTGCTGTTTTCCCGGGCGACATCGGGGTCTGGGGAACTCTTCAACAAGGGCGCAGGAGCACAGTCCAATCAATTCGACTATCGCCCAACGTTTGCCCAGCTCCAGCTCCAAACATCCTGACACTCCCACTCACATCCCATCTCATACCATCCTATCCTACCTATCCTGTTCAATCCTCGGTTCCACACTCAGAGCGACAAGGGCGCATGAGAAAAATGACGAGTGAAAGCATGTTTCAATGTAAGCATTTCTCTCAATTTCTCTTCTCTTTGCTTCATTCATCTTCCCTTGATTTGTGTTGTGGAAGAAGAGTCAGTCTGTCAGTCTGTCAGTCTTGTTGAACTTGTTCCATATATATACCCCTTATATATGCGCCTCTTCACATGTGTAGTGTATAGAGACACCCATGTGAAAGTGCCAATCTTTCTTACAGGCGTTGCATCATACCCCCAAGCGGCATTAAACTGACTTGTTTTCCTTTTTCTTAAATCTCGCAGTCATGAGAGGCAACGGGACAAAGTCCCTGACCATCGTCATCAAGCTTGGTGAGTTTACTTTACGACTCAACACCAAGCTTGACAGATCCCCCACTAACACTCGACCTTGATCACAGGAACAAGCTCCATCGTCGATGAGAAGACTCATGAACCGCTTCTTCCGATTCTGACTCTCATTGTTGATACGGCGGTAAAGCTTCGCAAAGATGGCCACAGAGTGGTCATCGTTTCGTCCGGCGCTATCGGTGTTGGTCTCCGGCGTATGGACATGGAGAAGCGGCCTAAGCATCTCGCACAGCTACAGGTTGGAACCGAATGTCTCAGTTGACCATCCATAATCAATTGACTAACGTGAACGTCTACAGGCTCTCGCAGCGATCGGCCAATGCCGCCTCATGAGCCTCTGGGATAGTCTGTTCACCCATCTCAGGCAGCCAATTGCTCAGATTCTCCTTACTCGAAACGATATTGCAGACGTGTGTTCGACTCTTTCGTCTTAATCTCCAACAGTGAGCTAAAATAAGTTGCAGCGAACTAGATACTTTAACGCCCAAAACACCTTCCATGCCCTTTTGGAACAAGGCGTAATTCCTATTGTTAACGAGAACGACACTCTTGCCGTTTCTGAAATCAAGTTTGGCGACAATGATACTCTCTCTGCTATCACTGCCGCTATGATACATGCCGACATGCTGTTCTTGATGACGGATGTTGACTGTCTCTATGACAAAAACCCCAGAACCAATCCAGATGCTAAGCCTATCGAGGTGGTCGAAGACATTGCCGCACTACAAGCTGACGGTAAGATACATACTCAATCGCGTGCTGACCTAATGGAAGGCTAATTATGAAACAGTTTCCAGTGCTGGTTCGTCTCTAGGAACAGGAGGCATGAGCACCAAGATTATTGCTGCCAGACTAGGCACTTCTGCTGGAGTCACGACTGTCATTACGAGGTCTTCTAACCCAGGAAACGTGCTCAACATTGTGCAGTATCTACAGTCAATACAAAGGGGGAACACTCCTCCCAGTCCGGACGAGCGTGCTGAAGGCTTGTCACGATCAGCCTCAGCTCTGACGCTCTCCAACTTAAATGACGCCCCTTGGCCCCCCCTGCATACTCGCTTCATCCCCGCCAACGATCCCATCAGGGACCGTCACTTTTGGCTGCTTCACACTCCTCATCCTCACGGCACCCTCTACATCGACTCAGGCGCTTACAAGGCCCTTGTTGGCAAGGCGGGTCTGCTTCCAGTCGGCGTCATTGATGTCGAGGGTAACTTTGCCCAGCAGGAAGTGGTGCGTCTCGTAGCAGTCAAGCGACGATCAACCCCTGGGCCTGATGGCAAAATGTGGGAGGGCACCCCTGAAGAAGTCGGTCGAGCTCTGGTCAACTATGCCGCCGCTGAGATCGCGCGGATCAAGGGCAAGCAGAGTGTTGAGATTGAGAAGATTCTTGGCTATGCTGATAGTGAGTATGTCGCTCACCGACAGCATGTCGGTTTCTTTAAGAGAGACAGCAGGCCAGTGAGTCCAGCTCGGGAAATAAACGGTGCGGTAATGGAATAGGAAGACAAAGAAGAGGCCTCGGAGATGGACAAAATGGGGCAAGCGAATACATTTCAACATATACAACGCTTTGATGACGACGATGATATCTACCAATCTACCAAATAACCCAAGCATGATTGACTTGGCCACAAGTTTCTTTTTCCCTCACTCTCAACGCCAAAGAATGAATGATCAAAATAGCCCCAACGCCAGACGAAGCAAATCATACTGCCCTCTAACCCGTCGCAAACAAGTTGTCTTCGTCACGCAGGTACTCTCCACAGTCAGCCTGTCTGAAACAAGTGACACCGGTAGGATCCAATCTTCGGGCCTCAGCAGTGCTGCGGGCAGTGACACCAAATCCGAGCGGTGTGTCGTTCATGCTGTAGACAACAACTCCCTGGTGTTCGGGGCAGTCCTCTGACCAGCGACCGACATGCGCCTTGACGATGTTGCTGCCGTAGAGGAAGGGCATGGTTCCGTTTTCCTTGACCCAAATCTTGTAACGGGCGTGCTCGGCGATAATGGGAAGGGCTGTGACGTGCAGGCGAAACTTGCCAGACTTGGTAAACTTGCCTATGAAATTTGGAGATTAGCTAGAGAATATTGTGACAGCTGTAAAGGCAATAACATACCGAGACAAGTTCCTAGAGATAGAATCTTATCACGCGCAATAGAGGTCGCTAGATTGGCGATTGAGAGACGGACGTAAAAGACACGATCGCGAACGAGGCGGAAGACATAGCGATCAGGGTTGGGCGAGTCGTCGAGAGGCGCGATAAGGTTCTTGAGGGAGCCACCAGTGTAGTTTGCCAGTTTCTCGAAAAGAGTCTGGGTCTCCTTTTCTGTGAGGGGGCGCATTGTGTCGTGAGGATCTGGTGATTGATGGTGTTGTTGATGTTGTTTAATGGCGGGATGGGCTTGGCTTCGGAAAGGAAAAAAAAGTTGATGGAGCGGAACTGATAAGGATTCTTATCAGTTGGCGACTGGAAGTGAAGTGGAGTGGAGTGGAGGTTAAATGGAGGTGGGACCCTTGACTCCCTCACTGGACCTAGGCTGATAGAAACGGCTATGAAGATAAACCTCATTGCAGTATTACCCAAATAGAATTAGGAATAGATGTCATGATATATATGGGAGTTTCGTCTCTCTCATAGTATTTCAGTACTTGTTATTACTTTTGATTTCTTGAGATAGAAGTTGGCTAATTCAGGGTAGCCCTATAAACAACGACTTATACAATATTACTAGCTCGGGCAAAGGAAATCCAATACGCCTTATATTATAAAGAAATAGACTATACTGGCATTCGAATATCAATGTAAGGACCAAAAATGAAACTCGGAAGTCTAAAAATGTTCCTACTAGTTCTCTTGTTCGTTGAACGCCCTTTCTCAAACTAAACGTCGGAGAATGAAACTCTGAATCCCATTCATTATAAAGACGTTGATGACGCCTGGGTCAGGCACCCATATAGAGCATCGAGCTAAAGCAAGAAAATATAAGTAAACAGCATAAACCGTTGAAACTTAAGTCTTCTTATTTCCACATAACTTGGCTACCAGGATAGGTACTCATCAAACAGCATGCCCCATAGTCTCCCGACCACAATGTTGGTCAGTGTCTCGCCGATACTTGTCGCAAAAAGCCTGCCTAAGACTCTTGAAATTCTGTTTCGCGCAGTAATACAGTGTTCTTCGATTCATCTCCATCCAAATTTCGGGAGTTTCCGGGAGCTCGAGTTCAGCGGTGACCAGTCTCATGAGGTCGGCGTTGACAGTATGAATGATGTCTCTTAATTCCGAGATGGATTCTTTACTAATGGCGGAGAGTTTCAGACCAGCAAAGTCTTGTATAATATCAATCTCCTTTCTCCAGTCGAGACGGTGAGATATCAAGGACTTGATGGCCTGGTCCTCAAGGTTATAGAGGTTCATGAGATCCTTTTTGGTCAAACATCCATAGAACAAGAGGGCATAGTCATTTGTGATGTCTCCCCACATGTTCAACTTTGGTAAGCTTATGAGGAAATTGCTCCTCAAGATAGGTTTTGCACTTTCAAGAGGCTTGGGGTTTGCATTGACTTTAAACGTGTGCCAGGTCATACGCCAAGCAAGGTAACCCTTCTGAAGCTCATCATATCCATGTCTCGAAGATTGCTCAAAAACCAGACCCACGATGAGGCAAGGTGGACAGGATGAAAATACCTTCATAAAGTTCTCCAAGCATTTCCGTTTTAGATATCGTATTCGGCCTCCAGTAATAGTTTTGCGTAGAGGTTGTTAGAGATACCCAAGTCAGTGTTATTTGGTCTTTTAGATATATCTTTGATTGTTGCTGGATCTTTCAGATCGTCTATGCCCGCCTGAGCTGCGTGCTCATCCAGATACCTAACCATGCAAGGTTTGCAACTGACGCTGTAGCATTCGTGAGTATTCAGACAGTGATTATTGAATGTTGAACTCCAAGATCGCAGGCGAGCATCGATAGCATGGACTTCAAATTGTTGTATGCGAGCTTTGTTGTCTTTCAAGCTCTGGAATGGATTGTGCCCATCCTCGTAGAAGCCGACTTCTCTGATAAATGATAGCCACTGGGCGAGGGGTCTGATCCGGAGGAGCTCGGAAGCGCTGGGCGAGAAAGTCGAATATGGACCTCCTGTGATGACAGTGACGGGGTAATGGACGAAAGAGGTTGACGAGGAAGGGTGAGCTGAAGAAGCAAGGTTCCAGTAGACGGCAGTGCGAACCATCTTGTCTCCGTGTGCTTCAATCTTGTATTATGTAAAAGAATGGAAGCAGATATTCGATGACTGCATATAACTTTGACGATAGAGTGTACAGGTAAACGTTGGGCGAAAGATGTAGTGAGGGGTGACCGTAAAATGGTCTCTTAGCGTGTCACTTTGCAATTTGCAAGTGGCTGGTTTGTCTTTAACCTGACTTTGAACTCGTCTGTTGAGTTCTCTCATATGGTCATGTACAGAAAGAGAATACCGATTGTATCTTTTTAGTGATATCAGTGCGTGGAACAGTCGGTCCAAGACTTGGTTCAGTATCGAGTGTCGATGTGGGCGATTTCTAAAGCTGGAACTCTGCGTTTGATATTGGGGAACTGTGTAACCTTCAGGTGTTAGTATGGTTGGGCAGCTTGGAGGGAAAAGAAGTTTTAACTCGATCAATGCTGACTTCTGGCTCTGAGTTGATGATGTCCTGAATTTGATATCGACGAATTTTACTGGGTATGGCTGAACTGGCACTTGAAAGTGAATAATTGCTAAAGAAATGAAAGACGGTCTTGGGTTATGGAAAGCTGCGATTACTGTGGATTTGGTATGAAGGAGGTAAGTCTCGATTGCTGTTATGAGTGATGTTCGGACGAGTTGTCTGTGTTCTGATGGGATAATCACTAGTTGCAAAGGACAACAGACTACTTGTATTAGTATGCGAATCACTGCATTTGATGTGCGTGCCATAATTTACGTGTCCAGATGCTCTTAGTCAACCTTAAGTCACTTAGACTTCAGATACTTATGCGTGCTGCTTGATGGACCAGTCGTTCTGCTGTGAATTATAGTTTCTCCCGTTGTAAATCATAATCAAGACAAGTAGTGTTGTTCCATGGCTTGAAGGACCTTTTCACCATTATAAAAAGATCAAGATTGGGCTCTTAAGGATTGAACTTTGTAAAGATATAGTGATCATTGACTTTATCAAAAGAAAAGCCAAAGCATGCTTGTCCAGTTCTTCACGTTTATCAACCCACCACGTCCATACTCGTGGCTTTTGCTAATTTGAGAAAGTTATGTTTAGATCTAGTCTAGTCGAGCATGTATGTTTGGGAAAAGGAAGAGCTTATGCTCACTTGGGTTTCTTCCAAATGGCTATGCGCAGTGGTGGCACTGGGACTTGGATATCATTCAACGGCCGCAAGTTGACATGCCGATGGATCATGAGAAACTCTCATATCTCCCACTCAGCATATCCCCGAAGACTCAAAAGCTTTCATAGCAAGCACCTAATCATAGAAATTTCACTTGCTCTGCTCAAGTCTTGTTCACCGTTTAATCTGAGATTACCGGAAAGTCTGTACTCAGCAAGAGCCTTGGAATTTAATATTTGTGTTTGAGGCTAGTATATATGATAAGACGCCAGAGGTTCAATATAGGCGATTATCTGAATGCCTCTGAAGATTTGTCGAAGCAGTGAATATATTACTCCGTAGGTCGACATAGCTGCTAGCGTGATTGGTCAACCAATACCCAACTTATATCTGATTGATAAAACGAAGTGCAGTTCAGAGTGGAGTAGAACTCAGGTAACCTACCTGTACCTCACCTGTAACTTAATGAGGCATTTGTAAAATTGTTATAATATACAGAGTAGAACAAGATAGAGCTCGGCGTGGAAAACTTCAAGACGAACGAAACAGACAAGCAGCTGGAGGAATCACAGAATTCTCATTGCTTTCAGTTGGATGGGTCTATATCTGGGCGTTGAGGCACCTAACTTCAAGGACCTGACGCATCCATTGCAAGGTAGCTCCCCGCTGGACCCCACCCACCCCACCATTGGGTAACATAACAGCTTCCAACCCGTAACTCAGCCAGCTCTTGACTCTGACATCTTCTCAATCTTGAAAGCATCAAGCAGCACATCCCTCAAAATGCAGCGGAACCATATCTCAGATCCGAACGAACCATTCCCAAAGCCACAGGCTCTCGCCTCGGCCACAACGACACACTCGCAAAACAGATTCCGCATCTCGACCCGCAAGCTGCCCATCTCCAAAGCCGGTACCATCGATGCACTCACCGAAAAGATTGGCATTCCGATGCCGGAGATGATATTTGGAGACAACATCGTCGGAATTGAACATGTGCCTTCAGGCTGGTCCCTGTATTTCAACACCCCAGATGCGCTTGACGCCGTCGACAAGACAGATCGCCACATGCTCAAGGTTGCGTATGCTCGAGACTGGGAGAGCACCCGAGAAGGTACTACACAGGGTATCAAGGAAGTTGTGAAGCCCTATGACTGGAGCTACTCGACGACATACACCGGTACCATTGAAACCACGGCTAAGCAGTTTGCGCCTACCGACAAGGTGATTCCTATTGAGCTTCTGAAGCGCCGAGACCCTATTCTGTTCTTTGACGAAGTTATGCTGTACGAGAGTGAGCTGGATGACAACGGTATATCCATCTTCAGCGTCAAAGTCCGTGTGCACGAAAAGCGCATGCTTTTGCTGTGTCGGTTGTTCATGCGCCTGGATAATGTTGTCCTGCGGATACGCGACACCCGTGTCTATGTCGATTTTGAGACGGATGAGGTTATTCGCGAATACTCGGCGCAAGAAGAGACATACGAGAACGTCAAGAGGGTGAGTAGATTTATGAAATGGTTTAACCTCAATCTTGGATAACTTAATACTGACTTCAGCGCTGCAGAAGCTTCTCATGTCTGGAAGACTCCCGGACGACATTACAATCGCACTGAGAGATCCCAACGTCCTAGCTCCACTACTGCCGCTTGTAGAGCATCGGGCAGAAGCTCTCAACCCAAGTGCATGAGAACAAGTCAGGACAAGAAAAGAAGAACATGAAGTCACGGCGTTTCTGGAGTTGAGGCACATTACACAATGTGTAAGGAGCGGGATGAAACTCGCAAATCAAGCATTTAGTCGTCTGATATTAATAAGCAATCAAAGAGACCACTTTGAATACCCGCCGCAGACCTGTTCACCTTCTGACCCAACTCTCACATGGATCCATTCTTGCCCTTCCTTATCCCGAACGTACAATACAATATGAGCCCGGAATAGACATCATTCAGAATTTAAGATACCTTGACCTAGCATACTCCTTTTGTGTAACTCCGAAGGTTTTACTTGAAAACAGTTGCTCCAACCCGCTAAACGCCTCGGACCTTTTCTTTTGACATTACTTGGCGCCCTCATCTCATTCTTGTGCTTTGCTTTGCTTCGCTTTGCTTCGCTTCGCTTCGTTTCGTTTCGTTTCGTTTCGTTTCGTTTGTGCTTCATCGTGCAAGTGGAGACGAACTCTGCGTAACCTCCTCAAAGTCAAGTTCCCACCTGTCGACCTCTTTAAATTTCCTTGCTGCTTGCTTGAGCTCATCAGCTGATGGAGTGCTTGCGTTCTCACCACTTCCGTTCTCAAAAGTATCGTCCGGGAGTGGCTGGAAACGACTAGCTTCGTGCTCATCCTGGTCCTCGTCGCTACCAGCATCATTCTCATTCTCATTCTCTTTGTCCGATGACCGGCGCGAGTAAGTTTGTGCATTGCGCCCCGTTTGCTTGTCCGAGGTCGGCTGTCTGGGCTTGAGAGCCTGGGTTGGGCGCCCGCCTCGTGAGCCTGGTCGCCTTGCGCCTCCACGGCTGGTCGATCGTCCGCCTCGTCTTCGGCGCGCAGCCCGGCTGTCAAGATACGATAGCTCGTCCTCGTCCTCCCCGATACCGGATGTATCATGCTCCTCATCACTTTCCAGACCCAGCGGATCCCGCTGCTTCTTATAATGGCGCTTCGGAAGCAGACTCGTCAGGTCGGCAGTTGTTATCTTTGGTGAGGGTTGTTGATGTCGAGTTGCAGCTCGACCCCGGGACTTTGGTGCCTCTGCATAATTGGGAGAGTGTGTTAGAGAAGGAGGTGAAGAGACATCCGAGAGGTTGTCGGCGCGAATAGGTGTTGTGGCAGAAGGCCTTCGGCGTCGCTTAGCCAAGGTATGAATATCAGGCCAGTTAAGGTCTTCTGAATCACTACTGGCAGGTAGAGCCATGAGCTCCTCGTTATTGATGGGGGTAACAGGCCTATCCCGAAGCACGGGAGACGGTCCTAGAGGAGACTCGAGATCTGATAGTGAAGAATCGCTTGCATCGTCGGAAATCACCTGGGGTGCGGGTCCCGCTTCTTCCTCTGATTCTTCGTCCGCGTCTCTCTCAATTCGCGACATCTTATCTGGCCGATCACTACTTGGTAGCGCATCTTCACTCTTCCTTTTCCTGTGCTTCGGTCCTGCGGAGACTTCCGGAGAGGCGGGAACCTCGATCTCCACCTCGTTCTCCGGCTTTGTCCGCCGTCGGTTGTTGAGAGGTGTCGATTCGGCTTCAGGCATGAAATCATCCTCCTCCTCACTCGCTGAATCTGGTTCCTGTCCTGCAGCATTTTCTTCCGGTCGAGGCTTTCGTGCAGTTCCCAAAATGCTTGGCTCTCGTGCGCGTCGCTTGAAAGCACCGAAGTGAAGCGTCGAGCTGATACTAGGTGTGTTGCCGCCGCGGCTGCTGGGCCTAATGGGAGGGTCGTTCCGCCCGATAATGCTGGATTGGCGTGGTCTACGCCTGAAGTTGTTGCTCAAGCTGAGAGAGGATGCATCAGCTGAGCGCAGCCCTGGTCGGGTATCGTCGTCCTCGATCCCAAAGCTATCGTCGAGATCACCAAACACGCTATCCGCTAAATCCAGCCCAGTCGTGTCCCTTCTCTGGGTCGGTGTAGCTGTGGTTCGTCGTCCACCTTCGACTGAGCTTCCAGAATCTCCATCGTCAACATTCTTACTGGCTGTGGAGGTAGGATCCTCGTGGGCTAGTTTGTCCAGCGCCGCGTCGCGACGTCTATTCGCTGCGAGAACATCTTGCTCGTTGACTGTACTTTTATGAGCACCTGAAGATCGTGCCATCCGTCTACGGCCTCTCTCGGGAGACTGAGTCCGTCGGGGAACTTCGTTGTCACTTGCATCGGGTGAGGGTGATTGTGCATGAGACTTCGCAGATTGTGCGGGTGCACGACGCGCACGTTTAGCTCGAGGCATTGAGGTAACGGATCTGGAATATGCGTCGCAAGGAGGTAGTTTATGAAAATAGTAATCGAGATACTCTTTGCGACTTGAGAGAAGGGCGCTCTGGAAATAAATTCTGGGGGTGAGTTTTGGGTGGGATGAGAATATGCGAATAACCTATGATGATGATATTGTGCGAATGGGGAAGAGAAACACGCCAAAGAAACGCGACGCGACATTGACGGTACGTACCTTACTCAATAGCGGGATTGGTTCCATTTGGAATGGCCCGCCAAACACCAGGCGCTCTGACCCACAGAAGCTTGAAGATCATCATGGTTAGTTAGAGCCGCTCGTCGCTTAAATTGCACTGCATTATTCAAATCATGTACGTGAATATTCAGATTCTACGACAATATATGAGAATTTCGTAAGTTTTGGGCAAATCATAAACTGCCTGGATATTGTACATTTCCTCTATGGAGATATTCATAAAATTCTTGACCCATCTATGCAAATAGACTTTATCCAACCTCATGACCTTTATAATCTTACATGTTCGTCCAATTACTCCTTTCATTGTACATGGTGCATAAAATCAAACAGAATAA